AAACTGATACCGAGACTGATACTGAGATTGATACTGCGACTGAGACTGAAACGAATACTGAAATTGATACTGAGACTGAGACTGAGACTGAGACTGAGACTGAGACTGAGACTGATACTAAGACTGATACTAAGACTGAGACTGATACTGGCATTGGCACGTATGAAGACAATTTACAGATTCAAACTGTGTATCCAGTATATTCAGCGAGTCGCTCTCATACCGTGAATAAGAAAAGATAATACCGTTATGATCATCACGTAAAACAGCGAGGTCTATAAACATTTTTTCGAACAACGAAGAGTTACGAAGACAATTGCATTTGCAAATTAAAACAAGTACAGAGTGGGCCAGAAATCACATTCTACTAAAATAAATCCGTAATTTTTTTTATTATATACTTTCCTTAATTTTCTTTTGCAGATTAAAATATACAAAGGCAACTCTTATTGTAAATAAATATAACGCCGCAAGAAAGAATTAAAATAGCGATATTTTATTTCGAAAGCCAGAGAAATGTTTTTCAAACACAAACAAATGAAATTTAGAGGATTTGCCGGGCTTGACAGCTCAACAAGCCACAAAATTTAGCACAATTCAGAAAATAACATCTGAAATCGAAGTAGCGGCAATACCAGCAGCAATACTAAAGTACGAAGAACAGGTTAAAAGGTGCACAAACTTGCGAAATGTTCTGGCGGTCAACATTTGAAAGAAATGAATTTAAATGAAAGCATAATGGAAAAATCAAATTTAATTTAAAATTAATAAAATTAGTTTCTTTCTCATACTTCGATGTTTCATTTAAAAAAGAAAAAGAAACTTTCGGCTCATCCTGTACAACAGACAACGTTTTAATCGCAACACATCCAGCACGCCGGACACCAAGAAACGCCAAGTTACATTCCATAATCTTAAACAAGGGAAGCTTCTCACATAAACATAAGCGCGGAGTCATCTAACGCTGGCATTAACCAAGAGCCAAGAACCAAGCGGACGACTTTTCACCTCGCGTTCCACGTTCGACGCTCGCGTGCACACCGTCGTCCTTCCAGCGAGCCAAAACAGCTGCGTGGAATCTCGAGGATGTTCGGAAAATTGCACTGGCCCGTCAGATTACGGCCGAGCCGAGTGAAATTAAACGGCAGACGGCGGTGTCTGTTTCCTGCGGGGTTTCGAGATGCACCGCGGTACCCCCTCGCGCCTCTGATCTTCTCGTTCCGACGAGATCCCTCTTATCCGAGGAATAAGAACACACACCTCGAGGCACAACACCTCCCCCGCTGTTGGTCTTCGCAGTCGCGAGAAGACGAAGTTGTCTCGCGTCGGTAATAAGGCGCTAGCGAGGCTCGTTTGCCTCCAACCCCTCGAGATTTTTATTTCAGCCTCGTCCTCGAGATTACTGTCTGGCCCCTGTTGCCTCGTCGAGACTTCCGGTCTCGACGCTTTCCTCCGTCCGGAATCTAGATACGTGCACGTTTCTTGTAAAGAAGACTCGCGACTCGCTTGGAAACGAGTTGATTTGTCGATCCTCGCTGCTCTGTTATTAGACGCTAGAGTCCACATCATCAGCAGAATCGACGTAGAGAGATTTTATTTATGGAATATAGTTTTACATGTATACATTGTGAAATATCGTTTATCCTTTTTTTTATACAGTTTACGGGAAGTCACTCGAATCATCAAATATTTGGGAAATTTTAAAAAAAATATTCCAAGCTGATTCTCAGATGATCATTTTAATAGATGGTTATTTCTGCGAAGCAGATTTTAGATTTTACTCAGTAGTTACTTTATTAACTGTATGTTGCAAACTGTCGTGTAAAGTCGGCAAAGATTTTATAATGACAGTGGTCGCGAATGGTTCCCGTTTTAAATTTATAATTTATAGAATTGTTCATAAGGCGATATCGTACTACTTTTCCTTCAGATGCGAAATATAGTGATTGCATACTTTCTAAAATATATTAATTTCTCACAGTTGCAAATATAAATACTTCTAGATATTCTCTAATCTTTAATTTATTTCAGATTGATTTTCGGACAGTTTCAACATAGAAGATTGTAGTTTCGAATTAGAAACTTTTAAAGACTTTCACAATATAAAAGATTACACGTTCTTTCAAATTAATCTTCGTATAGTTTCACAGTAATAGAGATACAATTTCATTATTTGTTATTTTAATTAAATCTTTAGTTAGTCTGAGATTGATTTCCAAATAGTTTCACAACATGAAATGTATATTGCTTCAAATTAATCTTCCTGTAGTATCTTAGTAACAAGATACAATTTGGAATTCATTATTCGTTATTTTAATCAATCCTTTAGTTAGTCTCAAATTGATTTCCAAACAGTCGCACAATTACAAAAGATTACATGTAATCTCAAATTAATCTTCTTGTAGTCTCATGGTATCTTGGTAACAAGATACAATTTGGAATTTGTTATTCATTTAATCAAACCTTTAATTAGTTTGAAATTGATTTTCGAATAGCTTCACGATATAAGAAATTACATGTAGTTTGAATTTAATATTTTTATATTGTCCCATGTAATATAAAAGATGTACTTTCATGGTGTTAAGATACGACTTGGAATTCATCATTCATTATTTTTAATCAAACTTATAGTTAATTTCAAATTGGTTTTCAAAATACATAGTTTCAACCTGGTCTTCGTTTCCTAACATTTTGATAATAAAATATACACTTCGGTCAAACTTTAAATCAGTAAAATATTGATCGAACATACAAAGATCCACGGCTCCTTTGAAATTTACCGAATGAAGAAAGGAAAAAAAAAAGGAGAGTGTAATGGTCGAAACAGATCTGTCGAGATTTTTAACGATCCAATCAAGCGAAATTAAATTCTCTGGTTTTCGTAGATGCCGCGTAATCGAGGCATTCGTCGACAATAATGGCCCGATAACGTTTCACCCGACGAAGAAACCCGTTTTACCCGGAGGTTTTCTCGAGAAAGCAGAGAAACGCAACCAGGAAGAAGGAAGCAAACGCGAGTAGACGTGGTGGAAAAATTCCAAGGCCACGTTCCATCGTCCGCTCGTCTGGGAAACGCAACGCGGAAATATTTTCGCGAAGGTCGTGCCATTTCGCAAGAGGGCGAAAGAAGGAAGCCGTGCGTGGACCACCAGGTCCGGGAGAAAGTAAAAGGGGCAGAAAGCTGCAATCAACGTCCGCGTCGAGTCTCCTCCGTGTGGCAGATACGCATCCACGGCAGAAATAACGTAATAAGGTATAATTTTATTTGCGTCTATATATCGTCACGTCCGAACGCCGGACGTCCGTCTAATTTTATTTCACGCGGCAGAATTTCGCCGTTAGGCCCCCGACTTCTGCGAGGACGTGCGCGCGAGAAAAATAATTTCCCCCGAATATTGGTGAATTAGAGAGAGAGAGAGAGAGAGTTGGAATTCGTTGTCACTTTATGGTAAATGAACGCGTTGCGGATTTTGCGTCTTTGGGAACATTTGAGTTGAAAATATTTACGTTTCATTTGCGTGAGAAATTTAATGGAAGTATACGGAGTTAAACGAAGTCGTCTAAATATTTTTTCAAATTGTGTGCGACGATATAAAAAATATTTTTCTCCCAACATGAATATAAGAAATTTCTTTCCAGAGTTTTCAATGATGTTCTTTTTCATGTGCATTGTTTTTTTTTTTTTT